GATGGCCTCTGACCTCGCAGGCCACCCGCCGGCGCCGGGCCCCCATATGCCCAGATCGCTTTCTCTGTTTGTCCTCTGGCGGGACGAGCTCGGGGCAGTTCTGGGCCTGCACAGCTCCTTTCCGTCTCCTTCAAAGCTCAGAGAATCCTTGGGGGAGGGGCGGCTACACGGAGTGAGATCACAGGCTCGAGTCCTTACCTGACACCCACATGGAGAAGCTCAGGGACTTTGAATTCTCTGGTCACCCACTTGGTGGCGGGTCTTGACCTGCCCTGAATTGTTGAAGGTGGTTTTTACACTCGTACATTAATCCAGCCGGGTGAGCGCGTGCCTGTGTCCGGTGTAGAAGTGTTAGTGGTTGGTCTGAGGTTCCCCACCATACGGTGTTGGCGCGTCACCCCAGCGCCTGGGGGAAAGGGTGGTGGACTATGTGCCGTGCGTCTGTCTGAGGCCATTGTTGCATCAGCCCCGGGAGCAGAGGCTGGGGCCCACAGAGCCGATTGAGGGCACATGACCAGGGTGTGACCTTGCCGCCTGAGGGCTGGGCTGCTACTGGGCCTTCCCTGGGGACACATAAACAGCCAGGACTTGAGTGGCGGGCAGGCCGGGCTCCAGGAACCAGCGTGGAGCCTGAGTGTGGCTAAGGGTCCTCTGCTTACCTCCGAGCAGGGGTGGGGCTGGGGGGTGGGAGGCTGCCCTACACACCTTTTTGTGCTACTTGGTGTCTAAAGTCTGTTTTTAACATTGGTGGGGGGGTGGGGGGCAGCGCGGGCAAAAAAATAAAGCAATATGCCTGCAAGCTACTGAGCGAGGAACCAAGGAGCAGGAGGAGCTCCTGGGCACCCACGAGTCTCATTCCACAGGTTCCGTTTCATCCCTTAAAGCGCACTTCTGTCACTGTGTTAGCTGTGGTGTTAAGTCTGCTGTTTAACCCCAGGCCAGGTTTCCTCGCTGCTCCCTGAGCCCCTGGACACTTGTTTTGTTAGACCTGGATTTTAATTGGTCCCTCGGATCCAGTTTACTGAATGAGACCGCACTGCCTGTCTGAGGGTCCCACCTGCCGTCCGCCCAGGCCCAGGGCCTGCTGCTCCTGCTTGGCCTGGGCTATGGGACAGGTTCTTTCAGGAGCCTGAGGACCAAGCCTGAGCCGGGACTAGATGAGTCAGAGAGGGCGGCCTGCATGCTCCAGGCGCTATTAGCTTGCAGGTCCTGCTGATGGCCTGTGTTCAGCCTGTTGCTACTCCTCTGGGTCCCTCCCAGGTTGGGGAATGAGCCTGACACATCAGAGCCTTGTCGCCTGTGGTGCAGGAGACCCTGGAGTGGTGGTGTCCCTCCAGGGATCCCAGGCTCTGGAAGGGGTCCCTGAGCCCCGGGGCCTGCTGGGAGCCTTTGTACTTCTGTGGGATCATCTCAACCTCCCAAACTGGAACCCTGCCCCTCGGTGTAACAAGGAGGTGTATCCTGAGCCGCTCGGTAAAGCGGAAGGCCCGGCCCGGTTAGCACAGAGCTCAGGCGGCTTCCTTAGGGGCAGCGAAGGCTGTTGTGGTCCTCCCTGGTTTAGCAGAATTCTCATTCGAAAGATGTCCGTTACTTTGTGGGACCTTCAGCTGTGTGATCTTTGTGAAGATGAGGAACTAGAATAAAGAAACTGGGGAAGCCTTAGGGATGTACTCGGGGTACAAGTGCGGGGGGTGAGGGGGCTGGGTTTCTGCGCCCTGCAGTGGGTCCGGTCCGCCCATAGGCAGGGCAGCCGGCTCATCGTCCTCAGTCAAGTGACCGGCCAGGCCTCAGACCGGTCGGGGGAGGGGAGCCTCCATTCTCTTGCCCTCACTTTTGGGTATTTCCATTTTGTGTTTGCTATCCCAGCAGCGGCTGTACAATGAAGTGTTTTCCTTCCTTTTTATCCCTTTTTCTTAACTCTCGGGTTTCCCTTTGAAATCCACGTGGACTAGGCTTCTTTCCAGCAGTAAACAGGCATCTGGCTTTCTCGTCCAGGCGTCCTCCCTGCTCAGCACGTTGAATTCCTGATGCCAGACCTTCCAGCCCAGGTCACACCCTCATCTCACGGGAGAAGGCTGTTTCTGTTGTTTGTAAGGTTCGGCCTTGGTGCGCTGTCCCTGCTGATGAAAGACCCGACTTTGACCTTTTGTGGGTTTCGCTGAGGTGCACCTCCCGGGGTGGTGGGCGGGGCGGGGGGGGTCTGTGCCTGGGCCTGTGTCCAAAGGGGTGTCTTCCCAAGGAAGGCGCGAGCGGTCCTTGGGGGTCTGTTGCTTCCCACCAGATGCATTCTGCGTTGGGGAGAAGAGTTCTCCTTCCTTCCTCCTGGGTTCTTGGCTGGTCTTCATAGTCAAGTGGGCAGAAGACAGCCACCGAGGAAAGGCGCCCCATAAAGATAAGAGCTAAGGGCAAGCCCGGCAGTGGAGGCTCCGGTGCCATCCTGAGCTGAGGCGCGGGGCGGGCGGGGCGGGGTCATTCGGTTCTAGGGCAGCGCAGGGAAAGGTCTTGTTTTCAGGCCAGGTTAGTGGGAGGATTGCTGGGTCTTGGTTGCCTTCAGCTCAGAGTAAACCCACGTGCCCTTGTGGCACCTGGTGGGGTGGCATGTCCTCCCTTGCACGTGTTTGTTCTAATCTGACCCTCATCGCCACGCTGGGATGCAGGTCACGTGATCCCTCTCCTCCAGAAAAGGGCCTGCTTATCCCCAGGGAGGTTCTAGAACCTTCTGCCACCTGCAAAGCCACCACTGCCGTGGCTGGGCAGTCTCCAGGGTCAGCGAGAGTGGGGGAGCACAGCACGGCCCCCCTCTTCCCTGCATGGCCTTTGTTTACCTGTTCCACAGCGACTGCGTCATGTCAGGTGATGGTCAGTGATCAGTTCAGTGGCAGGAAGTTCTGGCTTAAGCATGTGGACCAGCAGAAAGGAAAGGTGGAGGTTGGCTCTCACTCACCGCAGGCACTGCCGAGGGAGCCAGGGCCAGCGCGGGGACACCACTGCTCCCAGCTCAGCTCCGCGGAGGGCTGTGCCACCGCCCCGAGGAGGGCTGTGGTAACTGAGTCCTTGCAGTAGCTGGCTCCTTCAGGAGACAGATGTCACACTTCATACATTCTTGCTTCAGAAGAAATACTGCGGGAAGGGGATCGAAGCGACACGAATCAGAGGTTACTGCCACCAAGTCCAGACCTCACACCCAGACTCGCTGGGACAGGGCTGCAGGAGAGCCGGCCACAGGACCTCCCCTCCCCACCCTCCAAAACGCCGGCCACGGAAGTCCCTTGCTTTTTAAGAAACTTTTTAAATAATAGGACACAGATGATGTGTATAAGCTGATGCCTGGTCTTCCCTTTGATTGCATAATTGACATTCTGCTTATCAATTTTTCAGGAAGCCATCTAATTATACAGATTAAAATTCAAAGAGAGCAAAAAGGCTGATTATGCCTCACCCAGGGAATTGGAGGAGGGTGTGGGCTCTTGCTCAGACGGCGATGCTGTCGGTCCCCACCTCTGAGGCACCTCACAAACAGGAACCAGCCGCCCCTCTCACCCTCTGCGGGGCCGCGCCTGGGCTCTGGCTTCACCACAGCGTCCGGGACCCAAGCTCTTGGCAGGCTGAGTGCCCCCGGGGCACACCGGGGTCCTATCCTCTGTGGTGTCCATCCCCCTCCCCCCTTTGCATGATGGACCTTCCATAAGCGCAGCAAAGCAAAGCAATTTAAAGGATACGTCCACTAAGTCGTCATCCACCCAGGTCTTCCGCTGTGTTAGGGCTGCCTTCCTTCATCTCACTAACCCAGCTCGGCCGTTCCTGGTGTGAGGGTTCCCCGGGTTTGGGAAGAGTTTGGGTGTCTCTTGGATTAATGTTGCATTAATTATTTATGGGATCAGAAATTGTGCCTTTGCCTAGCTCTTTAAAGAAAACACCACATAATTATTGCCATGAATCTTTGGGGTGCTTTTTCAGTCTTGTTGCTGGGAAATTAGCCATTAACCAGCATGGGACATAAGTCACCTGCCTCTCCACAGTCACACCTGCATGCTGACCTGGGACAGAGGAACTCCGCGTTTTGCATAACTGATCACTGAACACGATAGTCCCCACTATTGACCCTGGGCCTCGCTTTTGTCTTCAGTCCCTCCTTGGCTGGGTAGCTGGGACACCCTTTTCTCTGTGTGGTTATTGTCCAGCTACGGCTGCAGCAGCGAGTTCAGAGCTGGGACCCTGGGGTGCAGGTAACAGTATGCTCTCGGCTGGTCCATGGATGAGCAGGAAGTGAGGGTTGGAGCCTCCCAGAGCGAGAGGCCACAGACTCCCTCCTCATCATCGGTGGCATGTGGGTTCCCTTCGGAGGCTCCCACATCCCCAGCCCTTCTGCCTGGACGCTACCCTTATGGATGGCTCGGTGGCCCCCTCCACATGCACGGAAGGCTTGGGAGATGGCCCTGTGCCCGCTGGGGAGGAGTGTGGGCCTTTGTCCGTTCTCCTGCCGTGGCGCCGAGGGCTCATGTGGTCCGCAGCAGCAGCTGACCCTGATGGGAAGGTCCTGCGAACCACCTGGCAGACGGCCTTGAGCCCCTCATGTAGCCGCAGGTGGGCGCCAGCATCTCAGTGTCAGTGAACCTGGGACCTGTTTCCCAGGTGCTTCCGGGCCTGTGCCACCCCCTGCGGCTCTGCCCTTGGGGTCACAGATGCACAGGACACGTCCAAAGGTCTGTCCCTTGGTCTTTGGCATTGAGTACAAATTACTCCGCTTCCCTGAAGTTAAAAGCAGGAGACCCGATGCCATCGGCTCGCTGTGGGGACAGAGGGCTCTAGCCTGAGCCTGTTTGGTGCTTCCTGCCACAGGCAGGAGATGGGCCCTGGCCCGGAGCAGCCCTTCTGCCGTGAGGGCGGAGGGCGAGCGCCAGGGGGCAGGTCCCCCGTAGAGAGGAGCAGCCGTCCTGACTGACCTGTCGCCCTGTGCCCCGGGTGTCCGGAGAGTAAGGCCTCTTTTCTCCTTGTTTCAGGGTTCATAGTGGCGTCATGCCCGCAGCCTCCTGCCAGTCCCCCTAAGTCTTAGAGGACCGCTTTGCCTTTTGAATCAGAGTTGCAAAGTTCGATAAAGAATGGCCCTTGTGGATAAGCACAAAGTCAAGCGCCAGCGATTGGACAGAATTTGTGAAGGTAAGAGCCAGCGTGATTGGCGGTTTTCAACCAGAGTCGCGCAGTCCTGCCCTTGATCGTGACCAGGTCACCTGTCTCACCTCTCACTTGTCGGGAGCTGGTTCCCTGGTCAGACGGTGCACCGCACCCCCGCACTCCAGCCAAGGCCCCTTGGACCCTAGCACCTCTCACCACCAGGCACCTCTGGCCTGGGCCTTGTGGTCAGCAGGCCTGACCTTTGCGTAGAGGGGTTGAGGCCTGGCTTCCGGTTGGGTGGGCCAGGAGGAAGCTGGGGAAGAAGTAAGCCTCAAGGTCCATTTTTTTCCACTTACCTAAGATCATTTGCATATGAAAGACACAGTAGATTAGGACCATCTTTTTTACTTCCTGAAGTTTCCGGACTTGCTCTGTTTCGAATTAAGATGTTTGCAAGGATGGATTACACATTGATCCTGAGGGAACCAGTGCTGCCCTTGTGTGCGCATCCCTGCATCTCTGAGGATGCCTGGGAGTGCTTTAGTCATGAAAGGAAAACAAACATGATTAAAGGCTAATGGGAACCTGGCGACAGCTCTCAACAACGTTGCCGAAGCAGCCCCTCTCCTCATTAGGGAGGGGCAGGGAACCGAGAGCAGCCGTGTGCCCCCCGGGCACCAGGCCCGCTCGGTGTGGCTCAGTGCAGCGTGCTTCCTGGTGACCTCACGCAGGGCTGGTCACAGGCGCTGGTGGGAGCCGCTCCCACGAGTGCTCCCGCACCGGTCAGCCCGCTCACTCGGACAGGAGCACGTCTCCCACCAGTTGTCCGTATAGAACTGCTCTCTGAGTGGATGTGGTTCCAGCCACGGAGGACGGAGGCATCAGAGCCGCGTTCTGCCGAGTGGCCGAGCCCCGAGAGACCCCAGAATGTAAGCGTAGAATGTAAGGGTTCCGCAGGGTGCAGAGGTTGGGGTTTGTGCATTTTTTAAAAAATCAACATTTAAAAATGTTCAAGCTCACAGATGGATAGGCGGTCCAGTGGACAGTGATGTCCCTTCCACTGTGTGTCCCGCTGGATAACTCGCTGTCTTTGCTTCTTTCTGTAGAGATGTAGCTAGAAATACCATGTGTGAGAGGGGTGGCTGGGCTTTTCCAGACCCTCGGAGCGGAGCTGTGAGAGCAGCAGTTCGCTCTGAAGGCCCAGGGCATGGATCTCTTTTTAGCGTCCTTTCCTGCGTAGACACTGCACCAGCCCAGGGAACTGGGCCTCGTGCCAACATCCTCTGATCCAGAGACTTCCTCCCCACCTGCTTCAGCCGCTCCGTGTGCCTGTGTGGCACCCGCCAAGGAACAGCGCGCTTAGTCCTCCAGGCTCTTTGGTCTCCATAATCTCCCATCATTCCAGGGCCTCTGACCTTTAAAAGCATTGACATCATGCAAACTCTCAGGCCAGTTGGTTTGTACAACATCCCATAACCGAGGTTCACCTGATTGGGGAGGGATTTTTAAATGCTGTTGACCTTCTGTGGAAAGGAGCTGCCATCTAGGTCTTGTTCCAGTTCCCGAAAGCTCCAGGTTTCGGTTCCAAGGTGGGTGTCGGGGACGTCTGGCTGGTCCCACATCCACAAGCCCAGTCGTTGTCTGGGGTGCAGTCAGAGCGGAGAACGGGATGGAAGGGTGCCGGCGCGGGCAGCCGCTGACCATCGTTCTGACCCTCTCTCCCAGCGCGGGTCGCCAGCCTCCTGCCCGTTTCTCATAACAGGTGTCGGTCTCACCTGCATCGTGAACATGGCCCTGAGACAGTAGCAGTAACACATTCTGAAATTTCGCCACAGCACACCCTCAGGTAGACACCCAGAATTCCCTTACTCACTGTAGCTTCTAAATTGTGGCCCCAAACATTTGTTTAGTGAGGGACCAGCTGCTGCAGAACGTCTCCGTGGGCTCCTCGCCTGGATAGGCCGATGGAGCATCTGTCCCAGGTGAAGGCGCCTTCGCCCGTGATGCTGGGGCTCGGGGTTATGCACAGGGCAGAGTACCACCTGCTCCTCCGGCTGGTCTGGGGCCTCCATCCTAACCAGCTGCAACAGTGGTCCTGCCCGGTGACTTGAAGGCCTGATGTAATTGCTTTAAGCGGCGCTCCTGTTTGCATGTGTATCATTTGTTCTCTGCTTTATCGTGATGCCTAATACCAAGCCGTCCTGGGTGACTTGGAGCCGGGCCTGCAGGCAGACTGCTCAGGACCAGAGGCGGCTCCTTTGGGCTGTGTAACCGAGGCCTTGGTTTCCCTCTGATGGACAGGCTGCGACAGTCAGAGTTTTAATCTGTCACTGCTGTAGCGGCGCAGGTCGGCCTGAGCACCAAAGGGTCTCGGGTTCGATTCCCGTCAAGGGCATGTACGTGAGCTGCAGGTTTGATCCCCATTCTGGGCACATGTGGGAAGCAACCAATTGATGTATCTCTCCCACATCAGTCAATCAATATCTCCCACCCCCCCCTTCTCTCTCATTCTCTCCCTCCCTTCCACTCTCTCTAAAAACCAATGGGAAAAATATCTTGGGTGAGGATATTTTTAAAAAGAAACAGTGTTGAAACTGGCTGTCTATAGTCCACAATCATTTGTAATAAATATCTCCAAATAGTTCCAAAATGTGGATATTTAAAATGGGATTCATAAATGTTGCTATACATTATAATTGTATGTTTGGATCAGGCAATTATCCACATTTCCAGTAATTACGTGATTAGTGATGATTACCTTAGCTTTGTAAACATACAACAGTCAGCTAGACAATGTAGATGAACGTGCTGGAACCGAGCCCTTAGTCAGAGATGGAGATCCGCAAAGGAAGGGGTGGTCAAGGTGAAGCGTCACGGAGTCACCTGCGAGGAAGGGACTGCGGGCCTCGCCTCACCTGGCCACCTGGCCGCCGCTCTTGGTTGTAAGGTCAGTTTGGAGGCGCAGGCCCTGGCTTTCTGCAGGAGAGAATCAGGCGGTTTTATTCGTTCTGTGGCTTAGCGTCTGTGAAATGCAGACTCAGGCTTCTCCCCACTCTTGTGGGTGCGCTGTTGGGCTCTGCCTGCACTTGGCAGGGTTATTTAAACTCCAATCCTAAGAGCAGCGCGTCCACACCGCCCGTGTCCACACCCCCACGTCCACTCTGAGGGCCGGGAGGGATGACGCGGTCTTGGTTTTGTGCTGCCGCTGCTGCTCTCGCACCACCACCCAGCGGGGATCCCCTGTGCCCAGGTTGGCAGCGCCCCGTCCCTGCCTGGGAGTGTCTGGGAGCAAACCTCCCGATGCCTGGCTGTCCCCAGCCTCTGCGGGACAGTGGCCGCCTTCTGGCCTCATACCTCCCTCCCAGGAGCCAGTTCCCGTGTCCGGGCCAGGCCTCCATCACAGGAGCCCCGAGGGCAGTGCAGCCTTTGTAGACCTGCAGACAGCACAGCACCCCCACAATATGGAGGTCCCTGGGCAGGGGCACATCCCACAGCTCAACCTGATGACCGGTGTTTGGGGTGACTGTGTAGCTAGAACCCCAAGACTGCTGCCGGCCTCTCCTCCCTTTTAGACCCTGGGAGTGAGGCGCAGAGAAATGAGACTCCTGCTCTTTGCTGCAGGTCCCAAATGTGGGTGGACTGTTGCCCACAGAGTCCGGCTCTCGGGTCCCATAGGTGACTCGGTGGCTCTGGGACCTGAGCTCCCCTGCCAGGCCCAGGCAGGGACTGGCTCCGCACCAGCGGGGCTGGGAAGCCACAGGGAGGGGGTGAAGGGTGCGCCTTCTGCACATCCATGGCTCCCAGCTGGTGGTCTCTGCACGTCGGTCCCTCGTGCTGTGTGGCTCGCAAGTGTTGAAACCTTAACATTGAATCCCCGCTGGGATCGCGCCTGGGCCGGGTGCAGCTGATTCTTCCAAGGGGGTGGGCCGTCAGCCTCCCTCAGCGATCAGAGGTCTGTGCAGCCCACCTGCTGGCTGTGCGCTCGGACCCTTGCGCTGTCTGCACGGTGGTGTCACCGTGACCCGTGGCCGGCTTCGTGGACCGGGGGCCAAGTGACGGGGTGGCCGGAGGAGGCCTCCTGCAGGTGGGCGGTCTGAGCTGGACCCCAGTGGGCAGGAATGATCGGGGCACCCTGGCGAGGTGATGGGGATTCTTGGCACCTCCTCCCTTCTCCTGACTTTCCCGTTGCTCGCACCCCTGCCACCTGCCCGCGCCTGCTGCTTCCATTACCCGTGAGGGTGCCCACCGCTTGTGCAGGTTTTCACGTGAGTGACCACTGGGGCGCTGCAGGGACAGAAGGAACGAACAATTTCAAGGCAGAGCTGTTTTTAAACATAAGCTCCGAGGCACTTGCCAGGAACAAACCAGCCGTGTGGACTCGGTGAAAAGTGGGAAGTGGGGCTCCCGGAGCCGTGTGGCCCTCTAACCTC